CCTTCTCGTCTCTCTTGGAGGGCATGGCCAGGTGGAGCCGGTTGAGAACATCGTGGACCTTCTTGCCCTTCATCTTGGTGTCAACGCGATGGGCAAGTAGCCGGTCGCAGGCCTGGCAAAAAGCACCAAAGTAACCGTGAACCACAGGTAAAGAAATACACAACACAATATACTTTTGTCTCCTCCGGGGTCTCACCTCGGTTTTAACTTGCATGACTCCCTCCTCAGTCAGGGTGCTGGTCTCCACCACAAGGATCTCCTCCGTGGTGAAATCAGCAAAGATTTTCTGACGGCAAAAAGGAAGAAACGTTAACACTTGTGCAAATAAAACAGCTCATTTCTGAAGTTTTAATGACCTGCTCGGCAATAAACTCCAAATGTATTTCGAGTCTAAGCCTGTGAGACGTTTGATGGAAGTGCGTCTTCGCTCACCTGGTCCTCCTCAGACAGCTCGCTGATCTTCTTCACGTCACATTTGTTGGCCACGATGATGAGCGGCTGCAGGAGAGAGAGAGACACACGAATGTTACTTCCATTACCATCACATTTTGAGACGCTCAGTAAATTATTGCCCGTGGTTTGATATGGTTAGATCGAGGGGTGGGTATTGATCATTTGGAAGAACTAAGGGAAATATGTCTTGTTCCTGTTTGAGCTCGTCAATATCAGAGAGCAAAGTTTTCAAAATGGCCGACAGGAGCTCAAGATCAAAAGCTTTCAATCCACAAAAACCTGGATCATAGTCGCATCAGGCATGAAAAGAGGAACTTTTGAGTTTGTTGTTTTCTGACGTCATAGTCACACGGTGAGTGACAGTTTTCTGACCTTGTTGGCGAACAGCGGGCGGATGCTGTTGAAGAGCTCCAGCTGCTGCTGCAGGTTGTGGCCGCACTGCTCCGACACGTCCATGACGTAAAGAACCGCCGCTCGCAGGTGAGCCAGAGCAGTGATGGCCTGCATCTCGATGGTGTTCCTGTCCTCCAGAGGGTGGTCCAGGATCCCGGGGGTGTCCACCACCTACAATAACAACAACAACAACAACAACACGGAGTTCACAGGAAGCATGTTTCAGGTTTGGTCCTCTTTTGTTTTGGATTTGTTCAACTCTCTGTATTTATGCTATTGCAAATTAAAGAAACCTCAATGAATTTAGAGCCTTACATGAAAGTTTTGAATGAATAATGGAATTAAAGGATGCGAGTTACTTTTAAGACCTTTGACCCAGAACACATAAGAAGCAGAAGAACGTGTCTGAAGGACAAAACGAATGCGTGATGTGTAACCGGTCCCACCTGCCAGCGGAGGTATCTGTAGTCCATGTGACCCACAAACAGAGACTTGGTGGTGAACGCGTACGGCTGGACATCAACGTCTGCTCTGGTCACCTGACAAAGAACAACGTTCACAACATGTCAACGTCAGCTTGTTGATTAGTTTTGAGCAGTGTCATGCACAGCTGTCATACTTATTATTATTATTATTATTATTATTATTATTATTAGAGAGCAGTTTACCTTGTTGATGAAACTGGACTTGCCGACGTTGGGGTAACCGCACAGAAGCAGAGTCCTCGTGTTCGGGTCGATGCTCGGCAGACGGGACAGATGCTGACGCACTGTTGAAGAGGATCACAGGGAGATTAATCATTTTCATGTGTTAAACAGAAAGATAACTAATAAAACCAGGCAAATGAAAACCTCTCCGGTGACAAGAAAAGTTCAAAAGAAGAACCTGAAAACAGAAATAAAAGTTACTACGAGGGGCTTTCATTTAGTGTTGATTTAGGATCTGGGTCTGTCCACGGTGGACCGGTCTCTGCTGGAGGATCTGGGTCTGTCCACGGTGGACCGGTCTCTGCTGGAGGATCTGGGTCTGTCCACGGTGGACCAGTCTCTGCTGGAGGATCTGGGTCTGTCCACGGTAGACCGGTCTGTGCTGGAGGATCTGGGTCTGTCCACGGTGGACCGGTCTCTGCTGGATGATCTGGGTCTGTCCACGGTGGACTGGTCTCTGCTGGAGTCTGAGCTGAAGGAGGTTCTGGTGAACCTGCATGACTTCACCAGAATCCGACCCGGTGGCGAGCATTTAGAATAACTCTATAGAAACAGACCATCTTCTCTCTGATGGTCTCTTTACTGATGGAGGTCTGATAGAGGATCAAGACTACACTGAGACTGGTTCAGGACCAGTTAACTCTGAATCTCCGTTACCTTGTTCTAGATACTCCAGACTGGACTTCTGTCTCTTCAGGATGGTGCACATGCGACCCAGCGCGGCTCTCTTCAGCTGCTTACAGCGGTACAGAGAATCTCCGTACTTCATCAGACGCACGTAGTCTTTGGCAACACTGGATGTGAAAAAATAAAGAGGTTACACGCCTGTGTTAGAGCAATGTTATGGGTTATGTTCATATATTTATATTTAAACTAGTTACGCTTGATGCAGATACAGGTATATATAACATTTTAACTTACTTATCGATCAGATTCTTAGCGATGTTAATCTGTCCCAAAGCCAGTTTGTAATGATCTTTGTCGTACAACACGTTCATCAGATCGGCGTAGAACGGGTGGATGTCCTGAAGGAAAAACAACACGTCATCAAATCCCACGAAACTGATCGTGAACATGTAAACAAAACACTTTCAGGAGCGCCTCGTGGACTCACGTCGAGCTTGGGGAAGTCGGTGAGGATCTGCGTGAGGCGGTCGTGGTAGCTCTGCTGGGTGAACTTCACCTTCCGCATGTAGAAGTGTCGGATGCGGTGGATCTGGTAGTGCTTGTGCACCACGGTGGGCGTCTTCCTTTGGGTTTTGGATAAAGTGATGTCGATGAAGTCCTGCAGGGAGAGGAACAGTGACACATGACTTATTTTACAGTAATAACTTCATCAGGAAACAGGTAAACAAGACATTCATGAACATTTAATTATTAGAAAGCGTATGATATTTTTCCCCTGAAAAGAAGTTTGTGTTACTTTAAACTATTTGTCTCATCTGTCACGCCTTTGGCATTTACTCTCTAAACATGAACCTCTTTTTGTCACCGGTAATATTACTAAATAAAGGATTTAAGTCATTGCAAAATGTACTCTCCTGTTATTGTATTTCATAACAGTACATACTGCAACACCCACTGGAACAGATACTTAATATTTATCCATAAATATTTATCTGGTGCGGGACACATCTCGGCTTAAGTCAACTTGTGTAATTACGACACAATAAAGCTTATTTATCGCATAATACTAGTCAGACTCAATACTTCGTCTCGTGGTACTGTACGCCATAAAGTAGGTGTCTCTTTACACCAGCTCAGCACGTGTTTTCGTCCACCATGTTTGTTTTTTAAATATCTTTCGCCGTCTTTTAAAAGCTCAAGCAACGTAACCCGTATAAAACCGTAAAGACGAAGAATAAAAACGTACCTTTGCGGTGGGAACCACCATAATCTTCTTAAAATTGTAAAGTGCCATCTTGTCGGACACGTTGTAGTCCGCTGACGGGACTGGGGGAAAGGAAGGCACCTCGTTCCGTTAGAACCGGAAGAGACGCTGAGAAACACGGAGCGAGGTGTTTCTAAACATCGCCCCCTCACGGCCGGATGAAGGCATTACAGGAAAAAACAACATTTCTGAAACAATTTCTAGTTTTTCTGTAAAACAAACAAAAACTAAAGTTAGTAAGAAGTGTAACTACTGCCATTATTTTCATTACTATGTTTTATTTTTATTTTTATATATTATTACGTCACACATTTAACACTGTACAGCTCTTTCATGTTTTAACTACATATTTATATTTTATAGTATTTTGTTTGTACATTTTTTTATTCTTTATTCATGTCTTCACCTTTGCAGTACTTTGCTTTTAATTCTATATTTTATTTATTTTTTAATAGTTTTTCTTTGCTCAGATACAGTTTTTTTCATTCTTTATTTTTAGTTATTATTAATTTTTATTATTATTATTATTATTATTTTATTTTTTATTTTAGTACTATCCCTCCTTTATTCCCTCTTAACCCCACTTCCCGAGCAATCCCCTCCCTGCTCACGATATCAAAATAATGATAAAAATACAAAATTAATCATTTAAATTCAATTTATTCTGAATATCCCAAAATCACAAATTACAAATTAGCTTCAGAGGGCTTTACAATCTGTACACACACGACATCCTCTGTCACTTTAATGGGGTTAAGTATAATAGTTGTCAGAACCAGTGTTTTATGTTCAACCATATCTTCAGAATATTACATTTAAACCAAGTAAAAGCATGTCTTCATCTCATTACTTGTTACATTCTTCCTCCTTTAAATGACGTTTTCTCTCTGAATCCTTCAAGACAATTCTCTCTGGATTATTTTTTAAGTAGCAAAAGAAAGAATTTCCTCAGAATTCAAAGCAAATTAAATTATAGTCAAAGTCATCCGTTGGGTTCATAAACACTTGATAACGTCTGTGGTGGTCAAATCCAAAATATTCATCACATCTGTCCATTGATTATGTTTCTTTCAAACAGATATTAAAGCTAAACTCCACGTTAGTAACTGATGAGACGTGGTGATTGAAGTGAGCTGCGTTTCTGTGAATACACTGATGTTTCTACTGGATGTGGTTCCCCTACCTTTCCCTCTTCATCATCTAACATCTACAGGTGGGGGTCACGTTCACTAGTGCTCTATGAGAACAGTGAATATAATATTCATAGGGCTGCTACATAAAAACAGTTATTATATGTGTGGATCTTAAAAAGAGACATTTAAGTCTTACTGAACAGAAAACAAGAATAAAAGTGATATTACACATTACTGCTCAATGTCTACAAACACACAATGTCCTTATTTCAGCATCATAAATCAGGTTATATGCATGCTAGATGAGGAACTTTATTAGTATCATACCTGTGTGCGCTTCTGCTTTTAAAAGGTTTAGTCACAAAGAATATGTCGTGTTAATAAGCATAAGCATATCTGCTGAATCACAGAGAGACACAGACATTTGGAGTTTTGGGCACTTTATTGAAAAGTAGAAAAGGAATGAAATAGAGCCACTTCATTAGCATTCATTGTAAAGCCAACACCCTTCCTCGTCCCAAAATACTATCAGGAAATCTATTGAAGAAGATTTCTATCAGCTGAGAAGCTTCAAACATCTCACTGCCCTTTAGAAACTAGAAGCCTTCATTTACATAAAATAATGTTTCAAATCAGATCAAAACAATAAACATCCTCTTGATTATTGAAGAAAACACGCAGAGACATAAATGATTCTTTACTTTGACCTGCTGCTAGAAAAAAAATGAAATATACAAACAAACTATTTACACAAGTGTAAAATAAATGTGTGTCCTCCTGCTGAGAGTGGAGGGGGACTGGAGTCAATCCCAGTCCACACTGGGAGAGAGCTGGAGTCCAGTTTACCAGCAGCAGAGACACAGATAGGAAACCATGACACCGACACCTACGGGAGACTCCGGGCGTCCGGTTCCCGCAGCGTGTTTCTGGATGCTGCCGAGTGATTTGCAGCGTTTCCCCCAGTGATGGAACCCAAGCAGAGAACCAGAGAACGACTTCCTCAGTATGAAAAGAGAAGAAACTCTACTGGTTGACAAAGATCTCTGATCTCAAGCTTTACGTCTTCATATCACCAGACCCTACCAGTGTGTGTGTGGCAATGGGAATGCACACGTGTGTGTGTGTGTGTATTTACATTTGTGTTACCAACATTGATTTAACCAGAAACCCAACAGCAGAAGCATTAAAGTGTAAATATGGAGGATTTGTTTCAGATGAACACACATCTTTGTGTGTGCAGAGTGCTGTGATGCTTTCATTGTTCTGAAGATCTCCAACAATAATCTTCCTCGTTTGATTTAAGAACATCTCATCAGAGGAAATTACATTTTGTTAAATTTAAACTAAACGATCCAAATCATTTAACGTCACCACTGATGTTTGCTCCTAGTTTTCAAATGTTTTCTTTGTGTTCCAATCGATGAGCATCTCCAGCTAGATTCAATGACTTCATGATATGAACGATGAATAAGCGATGAGTTGACAGTTTATGGAGGAGAGTGTGGAGGCACCACTTCTTGATCCAGTGAAATATTTATCCATAAACCTGAAGAGACAAAAAGAAAAACACATCAAAGAGAAAACTAAATCATTTCCCACAAATGTTTCAATCAGAACAAAAGACATATTTATAGAATCATTGAGACATCAAATATTCATGACTCAGTCATAGAAGTGTTACCTTTTGTAATATTTAACCATCATGCTTATGAAGTCATAACTGCTTATTTTCATCTGATAAATTGGTGTCACTGTGTTTGTAAAGGTTGATATTTGAGACGTTATCTGAGCTGCTGATGTGAAGCTTTCTGAACTCATCTGTGTCTTTCTCTTCATAATCTCACTTCACATCAAATGAAGCAGCTTCACCTTTGTTGTGGAAGAAGTCAAAGATGTTCTTTACAGCGACAACGTGTCCCAGAGCTTCTACAGCGGATAGAGAACCAATCACAGGAGCTTCTTCTGCTCATAGTTTAACAGCAGCTGTGAATAGTTCATGTCCCGTATGAAGCAACTCACTGTGTGCAGGGCGCTGACTTCAGCATTTAGGCGCAGGGTTCAGCTTCTCAGAGAGCTCAGAGCTGGTGTCAGAGGTCGGAGGGCATTTGGCTGAAATAAAAAGCAAAGACGACATTTTATTCTCCAGAGCCAACATGTCAGAATGTGTTGCAACAGCTTCCTCCCAGTGGAGAGGATCCCCTCTTCTAGCCCCTCCCACTGATGAAGACATCTCTTCTCTGACTTCACTTCTCTCTGACATCATCACGCTGTCATCACTGGAGGAGGCAAAAGCAGCTCCACAGAGTAAACCTGTAACTTAGTGATCCTAAGCACACCGCTCACTCTGACTCCTCTAGGAGATGAAAGAGGTTTTATTCATCATCTGTGCCTTGTAAAAAACATATGCATGAAAGAACTGACATTATTCTAATTACAAAAATACTGTTTTTTATTCATTTTTTCCCCCAAAAGTCCAAATTACTTTTATCAACAGTCTAAAAGAATATGTAGAAAACAACGAGCGACCTTGAAGTGTTCGTCGATTGCTATAAAACTGCAGATATAATATATTATCTAGAATAAAAGCAAATATGATGAAATAACATCAATAGAAATGAATGTTAAATATAAAATATGAATTTGGCTCTTCTAGTCATGTCATCATGACATTACCGCTGACTGTTGAAGTTTGCTTCTCTGTCACATTCTGAAGAAAATGCCGAAAATCCAAA